TCAGATAAAAACAGAATTTGTAGCTAGTCAAAAGTATGGCAAATCTTCAAAAAATTAAAAATAAAATTATGATATGATCCAGCAATTCTACTTCCAGTATAACAACCAAAAGAATTGAAAGCAGGGAGCCTAAAAGATATTTGTACTCCCATGTTCACAGCAGCATTATTCATAATAGCTCAAAAGCGGAAACAACCCAAATGTCCATCAACAGATGAACAAACTGTCATATATACATACAATGTATATATGTTATTATTCAGTCTTAAAAAGGTATGATATTCTGACAAATTCTACCACATGGATGAACCCTGAAGACAAGCTAAGTGAAACAAGCCAGACACCAATGGACAAATACTGTATGATCCCACTTATATGAGGCACCTAAAGTAGTCGAAATCATAGAAAACAGAATAGAATAATGGTTACCAGGGGCTTGGAGAAAGGGAGGGAAACTTATGGTTTAATGAGTACAGAGTTTCAGTTTGGGTTGATTAAAACTTCAACAATGTGAAAGCACTTAATGCCACTGGATTTTACACTTAAAAATAGTAATTCTTATGTATAGTTTATAAGAAATTTCTTATATCAAAATAATTTACCATAGTCAGAGTTTTCTTAAAAAACCATATGATCTCAATAAAACAGAATAAAATTTGAATAAACTCTCATTCATGATAAAAAAAACAACTTTCAGCAAACTAAGAAAAGCATTTCCTTATTCTTAAAAGGACACCTAAGAAAAACCTAGTCGTAGTGCTGAAGCACTGAACATTTCCCCCAACCATTGCAAAGAAGACAGGATGTCCACTCCCAACGGTTCTATTCAATGTTTTACTGAAGGTCCTGGTTAGTGCAATAACAAGAAATAAAAGGTAAAAATACTGATAAAGAAGTAAAACTGTCCCTATTTATGGTCAACATGATTATAAATGTAGAAAATACAAACGAATAAACAAAAAGATTATGAATCTTTACATTTAGCCAGGTCTTAAGATACAAAGTCAATACATAAAATTTTATTGTATGTCTATGCACTAGCAACAAACTAGAAAATGAAATTAAAAACAATTCCATTCACAAATGCATCATACAACATAAAATATTTAGCAATAAATTTAACAAAAGATATGTAAGTCTTCCATCAAACACTAAAACATTGCTGAGAAAAATTAAAGATGATTTAAATAAATGGCAAGATGTGTCATGTTCATGATTGGTAGCTTCAAGATTGTCAAAATGTCACTTCTCCCCAAAGTAATCTATAAATTCAATCCAATCCCAATCATAGTCCAAGCATAATCATTATCCTTTTTAACTGATAAGCATATTCTAAAATTCATAATGGAAACATACAGAACATAGAATAGACAAAAAAACAATTTTAAGAAAACAACAGAAGCTAAAGAATTTATTATACATTATCAACTTCAAGATTTATTCTAAAACTCTTCAATGGTTCTCAACTGGGGGCAACTTTGTCCCTCAGGAGACATTTGGTTGTCACCACTGGGACGGTGCTACTGTAATCTAATAGGTAGAGGCCAGGGATACTATTAAATATTATATACTACATGATATAGCCCCACAACATTCTGGCTCAAAATTTCAATAGCGCCAAAGTTGGGCAACCCTAAACTACAGCAGTCAAGACAATGTGGTAACATTAGAATAGTCAAATAGATAATGAACAGAATACAGATCCAAAAAGTGACCCCCTGGGTCAACTGTCATTAAAAGACAACAAAGCAATTCAATGGAGAAAGAAGTGTTTTCTATAGAAGATTCTAGAATACACAGGATATCCATATGTAAAAAATTGAACCTTGATCCCCACACTTCACATCATATACAAATATTAGTTCAAGGTGGATCATAGACCTAAATAAAAAGTAAAATAATAAGCTTCTAGAGAAAGCATAAAAATATCTTCACAACCTAGCAAAACTATTATCTAAGACTTAAAAGCAGAATATATAAAAGAACCAAAAGACTCCTACAACTCAATAAAAATTCAACCCAATTTAACATGGACAAAAAAACTTGAACAGACACATCACAAAGACACAGATACAAATGGCTAACAAGCACATGAAAAAAGTGGTCAATACCAATATTCATCAAAGAAGTACAAATTAAAACCAGAATGAAAAGTACAAATTAATTCCACAAACTATATACCCATTAGGATGACTAAAATTCGTAAGACTGAAAACAACCAATTGTTGGTGAAAATGCGGAGCCACCCAAACTCTCAACATACTGCTGGTGGGTGGGTAAAGTGGTACAAAAAGTTTCGGCAGTTTCTTACCAAGTTAAGTATGCACTATCTTATGGCCCTATAAATCTACTCCTAGGTTTTTATCCAAAAGAAATAAAAATATAATGCCTACAAAAGGCTTCATACAAGAATAGTCAGTCTGCTTTATTCATAATAGCCCATGTCTGTCAACAAGTGAAACACTTTTATTCATACAACAAAGTACTACTCAGCAATAAAAATCGTTACATGCAACGACCTAGAATATAAAAAATATGTTAAAAACAGACACAAAGAGTATACACGTTGTATGATACCAGATATATGAAATTTTAGAGCAAAGTAATCAATGGTTTAAAAACAAAGAACAGCAGATGCCTGGGAGGCATGGGTGAGAAGAAACCTGGGGATTAACTAGAAAGGGTCACTAGCACTTTTGGGGTGACAGAAATGTCCAATATCTTGAATGAGAGTTTTACACTGATGTAAACATGTCAAAATTTAGCCATTTTGTGCATTATAATGTATGTGAATTTTAGCCCCAAAAAACTACTAAAAAAAAAAAATCTGCCCTTCAACGGTGGCAGCCATTGAGAAGCAGCAGCCATGACTTTGCGCTGCTCCATGGCCGTGGGCCTCAACAAGGGCCACGAGGTGACCAAGAATGTAAGCACACCAAGGCACAGCGGCCAGGGTGGGCATGTCACCAAGCACACCAAGTACGCGCGGGACATGATCCAAGAGGCTCCCGAGGGGCTTTGTCCTCAATGAGCGGCTGCTCGAGGTCTCTAAGGACAAGCGGGCCCTGAAGTTCATCAAGAAAAGGGTGGGGACACACATCTCTGCCAAGAAGAGAGAGGAGCTGAGCAGTGTCCTTGCAGCCATAAGAAAGACAGCAGCCAAGAAGGACTGAGCCCCATCCCCCGTGTATGTAGTAAAACCTTTTCAAAATGAAAAAAAAATCTAGTAGGGGTGAGGAGTTGATAGAGGTACTTCTGAAACGAGAAATGGCAGAATATTAATTGTTGAAACTGGACGATGGGCACATGGGGGTTCATTATACTCTTTTGTTTAAAATGTTTCATAAAGGTTTTAAAAACATAATTTTTAATTCCCCTCAATGGAGGAAAAGAATTGGTAATCACTGTACTTCACGTAAAGTAAAATCTCTTAAGGCATTCTTTCAACTTTCTTTTCTATGCCAAATAATCCCTGTCCTTTTTACTTTCTTGAATATTATTCATCAGAGTTACAGCTCACCTTGAAATCTTCATGTTTTCTGTATCTCATTTATTTACTACTACCTCCAGGGAGGAAACAGTTGGAGAGCTAACACTCATTTAGCCCCCCTACTACATGCCTGTCAGTGTGCTGCCTACTTTGAATATGAATACACTACCAACTTATAACCCAAAATTGAATTTAGCATCTAAAATTTTAATCGTAATTGTTTACTTATTCTCTCTCATGAGAATTTATGTTCAATGGCAACACGGATATTGTTCACTCTTCAGATCTGGCACATAGCAGGCACTCAGTAAATATGAGTAAATCATAAAATTAAGAAATACAGTATCAGAACTCACAAATACCCAGTTTAGCTCTTTTTGGCAATGCAAATCATTTCTCATTCCAGTTATACCCAGCTTGTTTTGCCTTTAATCTTATTCAAATCTACATCAATTGCAATGTATTTGTTTCAAATGGAATAGAATGATTTGTGTTTGAGAATTTCACGTTTTCTCTTTATTCAAAAATGTAATCATAAAAATATTTTAATACAGTAATCCAATTATATATTTCAGCATACTTTTAAATGTGTGATTTCTATATGTAGTGTTACTTTTTTGCTCTAATTCATATAGCTAAAGAAGAAAATCCTAATGCTTTGATAGACTCAAATTCTGTTAACACCATTAAGCTGAAAAACTCTAGTAAGTATTAAGTGTTCCTTACAAAGGGGTAAATTGCAGGTAATAATAGATTTATAATAAAATGATCAATTTTACTTCAAAAGAATATCTAACAAACAAAACATCTACATAGCCTAAAATCAAATTGTTAGTTTCCTTCAGCAAAATACAGAAAATCTACGTTTATTCTCAGAGTGCACTCTCAATAAACATTTGGGTGTGGTTTATGATTAAAACTCCCAGTACCTTAGATTAGAATTAGAGTTCCACCTCAATTCTGAGTAATTTTTTCATTCTTAAGTATCCTCAAAACATGTATAAGGTTAAAAAAAAAGCGGGGGGTAAGGGAGAACAAATATTATCAGTGGTATTATAAAATACAAAAATTGAGTAAAACAGACAGCTGCTAATGACAGCGAGTTGGTTGTCAGACCAAGATTTTTCCTCATTAGTTAAGAAAAATACTCTACCCAAGAAGCTGGTAATTACAATGCTTCTCTGACCAACTAAACGACTCTGAAAAAAGATTTTCTAACATTCTAAGTGAGAATGCAAGAGAAGTAAAATCAGAAGAAACAGAAATAAAATCACAAAGAATGACATTATACACATAAAATTTTATTTAAAAAAAAAAGTTCACAAATGCCTTACATATATCATTTGCCACAAATTCAAATTCAAGTTCTTCCAGATGTCACTTTATGTTCATAGATTATACATAATGTAAAGAAAACATTTAATTCAAATGTACCAAATGCAGCAAAGGGCTTAAAAATAGAAGTTTCAAAGTAAATACTCATTTAGAGACACCAGCAAATAGGTCTGACCTTTTCAAGTGGCTTTCCCAAAGTGTTTCCAATCAGTTTCCAATCATTCAACACTTCCTCAACTTTGGAAATAAACCTAGGAAGGAGCAAAAAATCATCCTAAATATGTAGCAACACATTTTTTACTATTGTTATACAATTCTTAAAGTATTTTTTATATTTTAACATTTTTATCAGAGAAGTCTCTGTAAGTTTAGTATTGTTAATTTATTGATGTGGAGTAAAAGTGGAAATAATTTTCTTTTGCTCAAGAATTCTTAGATTTTGATGTTAAAGTCTACTGCCTCCCCAACAAAGGCATTCTGCCTTCCACAAAATAGAATTAGTAAATCTCTATAGTAAAATGAATGTAATAAATTTGGGACAGAAATAAAAACTGACAGACTAATGTAATACTATTTAAAATAATTATGAAACCCATATTTTTCCCCTATCCTCAATATAACTGATCTATTTAACTTCTCCCTTAAAGATATTTAGGAATTCCGATTTTCTGTCCCTTTCCCCCCCCAAAAGAAAACATTATCTGGAAACTTCGTTCATTAAAACAAACCAAGTTTTAACACACAGATAGCTGGCAAGAAACTGCAGCTATATTTGTCAGTTTTAAGGACTAACTGACAAACAGATTTTAAAACTATTCACTGTCTAATCTTTACATCTAATGATCAAGCAGACCTTGAAAAAAAAATTTTTGACTACCAACATGTTTAATACCAGCAAATGAAAACTGTCAAATCTCAGTGGTGGTGCTAAATACATTTTAAAAGACACTTTCAGAAGACTTTTGGTATTACTCTATGATGCAATCTAACAGCATCGCTGCTCTCCTAAAACACCTACATAGTATTGCTAGCGTATCAAGAGTTAATTCTAGTAAAAATATATTCCAAGTCACCAGGTTTTTTCTTCAATGATACTATATATTAGTATTTACATTTTTGTTGTAAGATAGTAATGACAAATCACTTTTTATGATTCAACTGAACCATCCAATAGGCTCGTCTTTAAAATTAAAGGTATTAATTAATATACTAATTAACTTTTGAGGGGGGTTCAGTCAAAAAGCAATTACCAGTTTTGGCAAAGGGTGCTCTAGAAATTAACACATTTACAAAAAAAGGGAGAAAAATTTAAAGTGCATCCATATGTGAGGGAAAATTTGCATGTGAAATGCACATTGCATTTATAAAGGTAAAAAACAAAACAAAACAGAAGTTATTTTAATATCCAACTGCAGCAAACAGTTGTAAACTCATGGTATATCCATTCAATGGAATAATATGCACTCATCAGAAATCATGTTTTAAAGACCATCTGAGGAAATGATGTTCACATTAAATGAAAAAATGAAAGCTAAGAAATAAGTATTAATATGGTTTAATACAAAAAGTTTATAACACACACAGATTAGAAGGAATTTTCTCAAAATATTAACAGTAGCTATCTCCTGGTGGTAGGATTACAGGTGATTTTTCTTTCTTTTTAATTCTATTATGAGGTATAATAAAAATAATTTAAAATAATATAGCTTTCACAGCAAAAGAAGGAACACCTTAAAATACTTATTATATGAATTCTATCAGTATTAGCTAAAAGAGAAAAATTGGACTCTATCCTGAAAGTATTGAGAAAGTATAGAAAAATTTTATAACTTTATCTCTGAAAGATTTCAGCTGACATACCATTTCCTCTGGCTCTTCATTCTATATTAAGTTCCTTGGTTATATGATTTTGTAAGACCCGGTTTATTCCCCTTCTCAGCTGTTATTTCAATAGCAATTAAAGATTCATTTCCATTATTTGATTCATGTCTGTCTCTTCCACTAGACTGTATATTCAGTAAGAGCAGGAATCATCTGTTTTTATTGACCACCACATCCCTAATGCCCTGAAATGTGCTTGCAACATAGGCACTCAATAAATATTTTTCAATAGACAAAGGATAAAGAGTTAAGGGCTTGTCTTCAGTCCTCTCAATAAATTGTATGGCTTATAACACACTAACAAGAACTCTCATTCAAACACTAAACTCAAAGTTTAAGAGACTCCAAAGTTTTAACATCATCCCATGAACTGTAAAACACGTTTCATTCTAGAAACAAGAGTATAAAAGTCAAAAACCAAATTTCCTACTTTGTGGTAGTACTCATAATTGTGATGACAAGTATTTCCATATAAAGGATTTAATATTCCACTTTAGGATATTTTAAATATTTAGCTGGGAGGAAGTGACCATTTTTCCATTCAGTACTCTGATGTTCCTCACTCCCACTCCCAACTTCCAAGATTCAGGTTACATTTTTCTACCTTCAAGACATCAAGTTATTACTTCACATTCAATAGGCTAAAATTGCATTCTTCTCACTTTGCCATTGATTTTCATTCTTTCAGGAAAGAAACTGCAGTTCCATGTTTGATTCTTTCTCCTCTTATATTTCATCAAGTGTATCTATCTAAATTCTTTGAAATGTCTTACAATCCTCCCTTCTTTCTCTCCAGTCTCCAAATCACCAACCTAACTATGGATCAAACAAGTCACTTGCTTTAATTTTACCTCTGAGTTTTACCTCCTGAAACAACTCTCATATCACTTTGCCACTCTAAAATCAAAGGTCTCTCACTATTGTTCACTAATGGATCTTTCTAAATCTGGTCTCCTGACCAGCAACATCAGCATCACCTGGGAGGGAACTTGTTAGAAATGCAAAATGTGGGGTCCACCTCAGACATAATCAGAAACTACTATCCTGATGCACACTAAAGATTGAGAATCACTAGTCTTAAAGCACCGAATCTAGAGATCCCTTTACTTAGCTTTAGAGGCTGTCCATAACCTGGTCCTATCTTCTTTATTAATCTTATGTATTTCCCTTGAGTAGATAAAAAACCTTCACTCCAATAAAGCATTTCTTCATGAAGTCCCAA